ACTTCGCATCAGGGTTGATCCACAGCCAGGAGATTATCGCCGGCAATTTCAACCTAATGAAGATACGCTGGTCTTCGCACCCAACGTCTACTTTGCACGCCCCTTTTCTTCCCTCCATCAGAGAAGGGGGCTGGACACAATGGATTACCAGTCCAACCAGGTCCGCCAATGTACTGGACTTAATATTCACATTGGGGATACACAACCCACAGACTAAGATCATAAACAATCTCCCTGGCAGCAACCATAAAAGGACCCGACTCAGTTTCCCAATTAAAATGGTCACTAAACTCGCCTACATAGCGCCAATTGCAATCCATTAGATAAACTGGGAATGCTTTCAGCAGTTACTTCGTTTCTCCGACTGGGATGCATTTTTCCTCTCTACCGGTGTGTACACCGCAGTGGAACAGTTCTATAAACAAAGCTATCACGCCATAGTGCTTCTTGCTCCACAATGTGTTCATCCGCTTCATGTCTCCAAAGATTCCGTCTAACACTTAAGCAGCAAGAAAACCAGAAAGTTAGCTGCAAAATACAGAAAGACCCATAACTTTCACTTATCATACAAATGCACCAATTTACCAACAGACCAACGTGCGCAATTAACACGACGAAGATAAAGGGCATATAGCCCTACGGACAAGCTGCAAGGATAGTGAGCTTGTCAAAATACTGCATCATAGAACAAGTGACTGTTCTCCTCTGATTACCGAAATTGTTGACGGTGAGGACCATTTACTTCATGATCCAGCTGAAATATGTGAAGCATTCATTGACTTATTTGCCACTGCCATGAGTCGCGAAACTGACCCTGTGCCTGTGTGCACCCAGGTTACAATAGCAAACCTCTTAAGCAGAGTCGACAGCTAACTCAACGCTATCCAACAAGTTAGCAATTCAATCAGGCCATCCTCCAAGCTGGGATCTGATGACATTTCAACAACCACTATTAAACTAGGTGGGCCTGATATGCCACTACTCCTGATGAACATGTTTACTCTAGCGCTGGAATCTAGCCACTTTCCAGACTAATGGAAAACGCCATTGATTGTGCCTCGGCACAAAGGAGGTCCCAAATAAACGATTGAAAACTACCACCAATCCACCACACACCAATAATCGCTCGACTTTTTAAAAAACTAGTCAGAAAAAGAATGATGAACTTTGTTGATCAATAATTCTCAGCATAGTTTTCTTAATAAATGATCGGGCACCACCTGTCAACTGCATTACCTTAACCACATTTAAGTATCAGTCGATTGCGGCTATGCAGTAGTAATCCTGATTCTTGACATATAGCAGGCATTCAACCGAGTACCTCACAAGCGGGATCCATTACTAGGTTGACTATCGTCATACCTGAGTGGTCGTCACCAGGTAGTCACTTTAGGTGACTATCGTTCTTCTCCACGCTCAATCACCAGTTGGGTCATTCATGGGGGCGTACTCCACCTTTCACTCTTTCTTCTCAACATCAATGACATCACTACATCTGTAAAATATGGTCGGCCACATTTATTTACTGCCGATATGAAGGTTTTTGTTTTACGCTGACGTTAGCAAGGCTTACATTTGGGTAGACGCTCAGTAGATGACTCATATATATATTGTGATCTCATCGTATTCACCCCAACCATCCTACGGGACGTGTCAAGCGCTTGCTTTTAATCCCGTGGTAAATCATTGTTCATTGAACTGTTCATTCAAGATGATTTACATTCCATTGAGTCATTGTGCTGCACATTGGTGATGGACCTCTCGGTTAAGAAAGCAAGCATCACATCATACGGCTGCTGCATCCCCGAAGAATCTGTCATCCTAAACAATGAACTAGTCCCAAGACAGCTGTCCACGCGATATCTTGGAATTAGGTACTCGTCTACCTTCAATTTCTCCGAACTGGCCCGATACAAAGTAGCACGTGTCAGGCAGTCAGTGTTAAATATATTAAACAAAATACACAACTCGTGCTAGAGTTAAGATTTTCAAGCTACTCACTCACCCCATCCTCGAATAGTGCAGCATACTATCCGGCAATATGAGAAAGAGTGACAGAATCGCTGTGCCACACCTGTAGAGGTCATTTACTAAAAGTGATTGATAAGCATTTGCAATGAGTTGTCGCGAACGTTGAATTGAACTTCAACTCGCACCACTTTTGTTTTGACGAGTGAAGCACAACTTGTTCCTGCTTTTCAACGCGCTACACAAAAACTCCTATTCCAACCTCCTAGACTCAAGTAATAACATTGCTCAACTCGAGCGCTTCGCAACAAAGGTTTTACACTGAATATACCCAAGACTAGAACGAACATATGTTCTAATTTCTTCCTGGTCAGATATAGCTATCTGTGGAATAAATTATCAATAACACTCAGGCCATGCGATAATGTGGCAACATTTAGAACCAGACTCGCCAGTTACCTTGATTTAACTAAAATAATCCCCATATTCACATAGAAAAAATCCCCCGATGAGCTATTCCAATAGGGGCCCAAAATCATCTAAACACCAACGTTTTCATAACTAAGATTTGGCCCCAACCATCCACCAGTATTTTAATACATGAAACGCATATCCCAATACACCACTTATGTATGTCACCCATGCAAGAGCATGGATACTTGTGTACCAATTGCTCTGTGCCGCTATAGACACAATTTATCTCGTCAAGAGAAATATACGCATTATTATTATTATATGTGAAAACCTATCCGCAATAAATATAGCTAGTGAATTTTCGTTAACGAAGTTCTACGCAGTAAAATCCCAAGTACTTGCGTATAGATGCTGCATTCCGGAAGGATTTATCACATTTTTAGGAAACGTGATCCCAACATTTGATTCAGTTCAGGAGTTAGGAATAAGGTACTCCAACTCTTTCGATTTCTCTGAACAGGTGCTTCATCAGGTTGCAAAAGCGACGCAGCTACGTGGAAGTTCCCGCCTGAAACACAACTTGAGTCATCCAAGATAATATTACGACCGACTCTGAAATATTGTAGTATCCTTGACAGCCAATTGCCACAGAACGAACAGCTCTGGAATAGGTCCAACGATCATTTACCAGGCTGGTTATGAGGAGCTTCTCACACCTGAGTTATTATGATTGATGTTGACAACTTCAAATGGATCCACTTTGGCTCAGACGCTTAAAGAACAACCTCCTACAACATTAATAACCAACTAATTTACGCAATCAGCACTGCACGTGAACTGCGGAAGACTGCAATCCACTCCACACGAAATGGCGGTCACTTGCTACCCACAAACTTTGCAGTTCTTAAAACTAGATCGAATTTCTTCTTAGTTACACCGATCTGTAGAACAAACTATCCCTACAAATACGCATGAGTGCAAACCATGTTACATTTCGAAATTCCCTACAGACGTTTCTCATTATGTCAAATGTGTTAAAGATCTTTGGCTCAAAACAATCTCTAGAAACATTGACGGAACCTGGTAGAAGTAGCATATGAGTAGCTAATTGCTAACAAGCAGTTTGCCTACCCTATATCATTAACCACAAATCTAAACTTGCGTCCGTGCAAACTATAATCCTCTTCCTATTATTATCTATCCTGAGCCTCACGAACGAAAACAGTGATCCAACTACCGGTGCATGGTACTTATTAGGTGATCGGGTCTTGTATCCGATGGAAAAGTCAAGATCAGAAATTCTGGTAGTTAAATTTAAATTTGTGGTATCATTATGAATCTATGTCCCATAAACCATGAAACCTATTCTGTGTAAAAATGATCGCTCCCGTTTATGGGGCCGTATATAACTTGTCGGTAGCTATGGGAATTTATTTATTTTTACGTGTGCAGAGCAAAAGCATCGGTTTTGCAGTTTATATAATAAACTAATTGACTGATGGTTCTGCAGTCGACGATGGGTAAAACAACCGATATTATCCTTTGTGTCTGATTCAAATAAAGTGGAATGAAATCTCTCGCGAATTCAACAGAGTAACAGTGTCGGCTACTCTCATAGCGTAGACTACCTATCTGCGTACTTGGATGATACTACAATGATACTTAACAACAGACCACTGTTTTGGCCCGTGAAACGGTAAGGGAACTTCATTATTATTTGATTATATTATGATAAAGAAAAGCAAAGTTGATAGACTACCATTCCGCTTAATACCAACACTTTAGTTGTTGATAAACAAGGGTAGTATATTCCCTGAATATTTTTTTCGTGTACTCTCTTTCTGGCTCCAATCCGGATAAACTGATTATAACGCCGGCAAGTGGGACGATTTGTACACATGAACTCAGCATCAGTCCCAAGTCCTCTTGACACCGGTTGGCTCTCATCGTTGTTCGTCATCGCACTACACGTCTACACATGGTGGTCAGCGAGACTGGCTTATGCAATTTTGAAAAGAGCATCTATTACTGAACAACATTTGTTGTCTAGAGACTGGTTGTTGACCAAAGTAAATGACGAGGGATTCGGTCTGAAATGCTCTTCCTAATACCAGGTAATGTTTTGCAGACCGTTAGAGATGCTATCTCAGCTGTAATTTATTCGGAAACCTGGATGGCATATGTCAAATCAACTTGTTACGGAGCTATCGATTCCATATGCATGCTGGAAGTTTCACAGTGTAATCTCAGAGTGCATTAGGACGTAATTTTCACTTTATGGTTGCCAATAGTGAAAGATAGTAAAGCATGGCATATGAATAGTTTTGGTGATAATTCTGAAATAGGATTACATCCCATTCCGAGGACACAGCAAATCAACATAAACTGAACAATAACGGTGGCGTTAACAGCACACGCAAAATACTTTGTATGTCTTGTGAACATCATTCATTCGCTTTTTATTACTATGCAATCAACAAATGCTAGTATAATTATAGTACGAATATCATCTTGCTGGAAAGTGGATAAGAATCCAGTTACATGCGCATAAAATGAGGTAAATTGGCTGCCGAAGTTCGAATTACACGATAATCTATGCATGTTTTACACTCATTCAGGTCCCATACGCGGAGGTTGCAGCGAAGACTTTGGTCCTTATGGTTTACGATTTCGATCGGTTTTCGAAACACGATCAAATTGGACTAATCAAAGTACCATTGGGTTCCATCGATCTATGCAATGTTCTGGAAGAGTGGAGAGATCTGAGTCCACCTGAAAGTGAGGCAGACAAGGTGAGCCCGAACTCAGTAGGATTTCTTGTGGTGGCGGAAAAAGTACAGAAATAGTTAAGTGATCTTAATTTGTTTGTCGCAGTTTATAGTATTTCACGAGCAAAATGAGATAAACGATTGTGACTTTAATAACAAAAGCCCACTTGTAAACTTTGATGGAAGCGAATCATCAACGCCTCTGATTGCAAAGGACAATTCTGGAAAATTGCGGACACATCTTGTTACATCAAACAAAAGACGTGGGGATGTTGTTTGACACAACTTTGTTTCGCCTTACTTTTGGGCAATTTTGATGTTCGTACGAGACCTTCAAAACATGTAAAAAAATCCCGTCGTAAATTAATGTCTATAATGTGCTTGGAAATGGACCAACACACTTTTACTAGCAAACAACAGTGGCGGATTAACGCATCTCACCGTCGGAAACAGTCACTTTATCTCAACAACAACAACAACAACAACAGCAACACACAGCAACAACAACAACCGCTGTTCTCCTCTTTTACTGAAGCCTTTACACGTATTTCTAACTGCAATGCTAATGTCTACTTCCAACAGGCAGCAGAGTAGTCTGTTATCTGTGGTTCATCGTCGGGACCAGACTTTGGTAAGTCCCAAAAGTCTGGTCCCTCTACTCTGTTATTGCGGGACAAAAGGTCATTCCTTCTGGTGTGAGGTAGAGCGCACTAAGTTGCCAACTGTCCAATAGTAGATGTTGTTCTATCTCAAAATATCTCACCCGGTCACATGGGTGTAATGGAACAATGAAACAATGGTTTATTACGGGTAAAAAGCATTGCTTAACAAGTCCCGTGGGATGGAAATTATTGCGAAAAGTGAATTGCATGATAAAGTGGAAAGCGTTTTGGTGGACTCATCATAGACTTATGTAGAATATCGAAGATGTTCGCGTATTAAACGTATAAATCCATAAATCCATTGGTTGGGAGTTTGGCAAGACACCGTTTGATTGCGTTTTGTAGCCCCTGGCTAACAAGTCATAAAATGAAATGTAAATGAGACAACGCATCGTCAACCCGTTTTTTAAATATCGCCAGATTGGGAGCAGAGACGACATAATTAGGAGGGCGTTCCAAGGCTGGCACAGGCGAAGGGAGAAGAAATTTCTACGGCATTCAAGCCGGGTATACTGTATTGTCAGATTCAGAGGATGGCCTCGTAGGTTAGTGTTGTGGCTCAATTCCAGAAGCGGGTGACAAATGTGCTTTGGGTTCTTCAGAATCTGGTAGCCCATTATGAGATCCCCAGCAAACGCCGATTTAGACTGCTGTACCTTCTTAGAGATTTCAGTCTAAGCTGATAGGGCAGATGAAAGAGGCTCCTGAGGTTCTTGATTGCTGTTCGTTGTGGAATCTCGAGAGCAACGAGATCCTGTTTCTGCCACGGCTGCCACGTCTGGATAGCATATTCCACGTGCGGTCGCACGTAGGCGTTAAGCAGTTGGGAAATGTTTGAGGGTTCAAACCGACCGGAAGCACTTCGTAGCAGGCCGAAGTGTTGATTGCCGATTCTCGTCGCCATCTCTGCTTGTTTTGAACACCCGAGATCTTCCTGTACCAGTACACATAGGTCAAGCTCCCTAGAGGTCTTCTGCAAGGTGTGGTCTCCAAGCTTGTAAGCGCTCACCGGCTTGTGACGCAGATGTATCAGCTTGCACTTAGCTATGTTCAATAGAAGCAGGTTCCTCTTTGACCATTCATAAATGCAATATAGGTCATGTTGGAGTAGATCATGATCTTCATTGTTACTAATCGTCTGCCATATCTTGACGTCATCGGTGAAAAGCAGAAACTTTGAGGAGATAACTTTTGCTACGTCGTTGATAAACGCGAGGAATAAGTGCGGTCGCAGCACTGACCCTTGTGCAACCCCAAATTCCACCTCAACCGTATTAGAGAGTGATCCCCTAACGCGTACTTGAAGCTTACGTTGGTAAAGAAGTTGCCAGTCTAAGCAAGTACATGATCTCCGATTCCGTAGCTCTGTAGCCGGTGAAGTAGAATGCGGTGATCCAGGCGGTCGAAAGCTTTGGAGAAGTCCAGATAGATGACGTCAACTCCGACCCCATCATCAGCCACTTCCGTCCAACTACCTCGTGCAATCAGTAGGTTGGTGGTGCATGACCGGTGTTGACGGAAGCCATGCTGCTCCTGTGCCAAGATGTTGTGTTAATCTAGGCAGTCCATTAGAGCCTCAGCGATGACCGCTTCCATCACCTTTGCGAGCACAGGTAGGAGAGTCACTTGGCGATAGTTTGCAGGCTCTGAACGGCTACAGCCTTTAAAAATTGGGGTAATAATGCCACGCTTCCACATAGTGGGGACTTTTTGTTCATCAAAGCACCTTTGGAAGAACTGTGACAGTGGTTCAGCTAGCTTGTTGGCCACAGTCCTCAGTGCCTTCGGGCGGATGTTGTCTACTCCCGGAGAGCTGTGATCGCGCAGTGAGAGTTACTTCATTAGCACAACTGATGGGTTGAAAATTACATGTGTAAACAATGGAGTCGGTAATGTGCATGATATTATGGGACAGGTAGAGGCTGCGAGTTCGAAAATTGGGGCGTATTGTAGCCGCAGGGCATTAGCTGCTTCTTCGGCGCTTTGTACTCTACCGCCTGTCGTGAAAAGTGGAGAGATTCCATGCTTCAATTTACGGAGCTTGTTGACGTGCCTATACAGCAGTTTGTTGTTTGCCATGGATCTTTTGGCTAGTCCCTGTTGATAAGTTATTTTGTCTTCACGAACAAGTGCAGTGCAATGGCTGCGATGAGTCAGGATATTGCCCCAAGTCTCTGAATCAGGGTTAAACTTGTAGGCACGTCATGCTGCATCCCTTATCGCCAGGCATTTCCGAGTCCTGCTCCTTAGAATGGAAGGCATTTTTGCGGGACGAAAGGGTTTGGTCGCTGATGCCCTATTGACGATGTCGCTGAGTCTATCAGCGAACTCTGTCCAAACGATGTCAAGTGGACGGTTGGTTGCGAATACTCAAGCAGATGCGTCGACGAGTTCTTTCAATACGTGGTAGCGTGTGATTGTGTGAGTTAGTTCCCGGTGTGTAGTTGAATACTGCATAACACACAGAGTTGAACGCTATTACTTCATGGTCTCTGAGACCTAATGGACTGTCAATCAAAACTTGTCAACCCTGAGGTCGTCATCCGTGAGCACAAGGTCCAATATGGACGGTTTGTTTGTTGTCCTGAATCTATTGGGTTTGGTAACATGATTGTACAAGGGAATAGTAGTGATCAGTTCATGCGAGTCTGCTTTGAACTGTTCACTGGGTGAAGCCGATACCTCCAGATCGTATAGGTTGAAGTCCAGGGAGATGAAAGTGTGGCTGTACCTAGTGCGTGTTAGTCCGTTCAGAAGATGTATCAAGCGGGAATCCATTTCCTGAGTGAACGTTGTGGGGAGGCAAACGACAACTACGAGTCATGCGTCGCTGTGTCTTAGTCGGAGACGGCACCAGAGTGAGTCGGTAACGTGTGTTTCCTGATCAGCAATTATTGCACACTGCAGATCGCTGCGGTAGTAGAGTAGGACCCCACGTCCTCTGCTGAGGCGGTCTTTCCGGATGAGTGACATTCCGGCTATCTCAACCTCAGCATCAGTCACCTCTTGGTGTAACCAAGTTTCGGTAATTGAAATTAGGTCTCAAGCATTCGCAATCTGACGTAGCCGAAGTTCGGTATGTTTAATGAGGAATCCTTGGGCATTAATGTGCATATATGAAAGTTTCTCAGATTTAAGCAATGTTTCGGAGGTTGTGCGATTCATACGTGAAGTTTCGCCGACCAGTGAGTAGCCGGCGATTAATCGATTTTTCGATGTGTATTTGGTGAAGGCTTTAACGTCTTATTCATCCTCCGCGTAGTTTGTTCTGTGTCTAACCTTCTACGTACAGTGTAAGGTGTCTGGTCAATGACATCTACTACAAGTTCTATGGGCTCATTCGACACACTACTGGTGCATTGTTCTTTTGTAGATCCCATCGCGTTTGGTTCTTTGAGTATCATATCATCTTTAGGAGGCATATCGCTGACTGTCTTCAGCCGAAGTTCAAATGGTAGCCTGCAAAGGATTATGTACCAGCTTTTTAGCATCCGTGCTACCATATGTTTTGACTGAAGGACCACCTTCAACACTCTCGGGCCACTTCCTTTGTAGTTCTGTGAGGTACGCAGCCGTGACACGGATTTCGCTAACACATCATCCAAGCAGAGTGTTTCACGAATATAACACCACTGTTCTTTATCATGGGTTGTTACTTCATGCTCATCACATGCTTCAGTTTCAGGGACCCCGTGAAGAAGTATGGTCCTGATTGAAGTTTCCTTCCGGTAGTCCTCTAAGTTGCGGTTAAATCAATAACGCTTGTCCCATAGGATGACTAGAAAGATACGGATGGAGAAGTGTTCATTTCTGAGACTGCCTGTCTACAGTAGTACTGACTCGACTTCAGTGATGGAACTCAGCAAAACGCGTAGAAGTTTTGGCTCTCCGAAATGCTTAGAGTTGGTGTGTCGCATAATGCGCACTACGTGTACAGGTTTCAGTACAACTCCCATTTGGTTACTAATAATATCCCACTGGTTGAGGTCATACAACTGCCTGCCTCTTATTAATGTCGACTTTGATTCTGCGATATTGGAGCACAGTACGCTCAGTACAGGTAGTTGTTTCTTTACACCTTTCGACATGTCGCGGTTAGTGATTGAAGTACTCGGAGATGTACCTCAGGAAACCGGTGGTGCTTGTACTAGGAAAACTCCGCTACGCTCCTCAGTTTCCGATCCATTTGGGGGTGAGGTTAATTTTAAATGACGGCCCTTCTTGGAAGCAACCGTAACCCAACTTTCGCTAGTAGCGGCTTGCTCTTTTTCTACGCACTCCGTCGGGAGTTTGGAAGTAGCCTTACGTGTAGTTACTCCGATCGAACTGGGAATCGCATTAGTCAAATGTGAGCCACGTGTG